CATTCGCATCAGTAAAAAACTTGTTTAATGTATATACTGCACTATTATACAGTCTTAGCCACAATGCTAACCGTACTAAATTGAAGTCATCGAACGAACGCCTTCGAAACTTTCTGGTTGGCTGGTCGAATCTGCTATATTGCTTTTCATATAAACATATAATCTAATATAATATAATTTAATTATTTGTATACATGGATTCCAGTCACTTTATATATATATAATAAAAATTCATTATAAAAGCAACAGTAATCAGTGCTATTTATGTAAGCACGCAGTTCAAATTTTTCGGGGAGAATTCAAAATTGTTTGAGACCACACCTTGCTTAACATCCGATTGCAAGCCGAGTCAAGCCAAGCCGAGCCAATATGCATAGATTTATAAGCGCTTTTATGTTAATATTTTGTTCGCTATATTTATATATTTTATAAATTCATTATAAAAAACAACAGTAGCCATTACTATCTATGTACGCACGCAGTTCAAATTTTTCGGGGAGAATTCAAAATAATTTGAGACCACACCTTGCTTAACATCCGATTCCAAGCCGAGCCAAGCCAAGCTGAGCCAATATGCATAGATTTATAAGCGCTTTTATATTAAAATTTTGCTCGCTTTTTAAACGAATATCTCAATATAACAAATTCTCCATCCTATTTTAACTTTCTTTGATGCTTTTTAATCAGTCAGGTTACAAAAATCATTATCGATATCACAATGAAATCAATTTGAAATTTTTTTTTAATTACTGATAAAATTTTTAAATTGTTGATAAAAATAACTAGTATATATAGTGTAGTAAAACGTTTAAAATTTTCTGAGAGAATTGTCAATAATTTGAGACTACACCATAACACAATTGTACAATTTGAATGTGTAAATACATTATAAATGTATTATAACTACGTGTATATATCTATCTATTTCTTCATTTAGTTCTGCCTGTGTATGATATTTTGTCAAATTTATTTGATAGGAATTGAATATAACCTTTATACCGGCTGATTAACTACCATGCAGTAAAATAACTACTGTTGACACCATTTCCTCCAACGATTTCGCAACGAATTGCCCATACCATATAATTAGATAGTCAGATACAATAATTTAGTTTTTAAGTAAATTTTCATTTTCGTAGCTATACACAAACATGTCTACCTGTTGCATTAAAAATTGCATTAATAATAAATAGAAATGAGAAAATTTCTGATGCATCTTTCCACAGGTTTATTTTCAAATTAACTTCACACTAAAATAAATGTAACAATATCCCTATGGCCTATAGGCTCATTGAATAGAACTATTTTGTTTTACAATTACATATATTTTATTTTATAGACTATTATAATTTATAACCACTTCATGGATTACCATTTTATTATTAAAAGCAATACTTAAGAAATGCACAAGTTTCTGTAACAGTTTATAAAATTTCAGATTTCCTCAAAATGTAAAAATGCAAAACGATTGGATCAAGTGCATCAGACAGGAAATAAATGATTTCAAATGGCTTCCATCAAAAAATGCAAGAATATGCAGTGACCATTTCTGTAATAAAGATTATAAGGGTTATGATGGAGAAAGGAAGGTAATGCTGAAGAAAGCATTCCCATGTTTTCAAGTTAGTTATATTTATATGTCATCAGTTACACAAGGAAGCAATTCACATTATCATTGTACATTGCAACATTCTTATCTATAAAAAAAATATAAAAAGCATTCAACAATATTCCATGTATTTTATTAAAACTTAGAAAGGGCATAATGACATTGTGAATAATAAACCCTGCTTAGGACTGGGATCATCATCATCATACCAATCACCATTACAAGTAGAGTCAATTTTATATTAATGCTTAACAAGTTAACTAAATTGGCATAATCAAGTTTTTATATGAAATACACATCAAGTATTTAATGTAACAAATAAATTAACAGAAAAATTTCTGGAAAAGTTTAAAAAAATTAGAACATATGACTCTGATCAAAAATCATTCGCGTTGACACTGCATTTGTATGGGCATAAGGCATATGATTATCTTTGGACAAATGGCTTACATCTTCCTCACACTAGGACATTAAGAAAGTAATCTTGTCACACCTGTTCAATAATTTTAATAAGATTGTTTTAAATAACTATTCTCAATGTCATTTTATTAACACTACATTAAAAGGTGGCTACAAAACATTGATGGTATGCCTGGGGTGATTTCTACAAACCTTATTGACTAATGGTGATGGGGATCCTCTGGAAGTGTAGGATCATGACATTCAATCTAGTCATGGATTGAGAAATCAATCCTTGATATATTTGATAACAAACATTTATTATAATATAAGTATGAAAAAAAGATGTAGGTGTAAGGCAAAATCTTACTTGGAACTATTATTTTTAGCAATTTATGATTTATTTTTTTATTTATGACTTTATCCATTTTCAATGATACCGATATTTTTAATTATTATTATCCAAATTATACTCATGCCTATATAAATTAATTTGATTGTGGCTATTTCTATGCTTAATTATTTTATTTACTTGCCATAGGTATGCACAGCATTTAATAAATTAATGATAATAATTAATAACACAACATTCTAAGTGCATAAAATATAATAAATTAAAAGTACAATTTTTACAAACCTCATTGGTTATGGTGATGGGGATTCTTTAAAACTGAATGATCATGATCTAACAAGACATGGATTGATGAATCACTGGAATCACACATTATCTTTAATAAATTTAATAACAACAATTTAAGAATGAGGAATATTTTGTAAAACATTAAATGAAAAAAAATTTAGTTTGAATCACTCATAATTAATAAATTTTAATTAAATTGCAAGTTAGCTTGGGGAGTTTGAAGCTTGAATTGAACAAATTACAAAATTGTTTATTTTATAAAATTAATTGATAAGATTGATAACTATATTTTTAACAGATACGTTTAAAATTTTGTTACACATTTTGTAATGTATCATATTTTTATAACTTTATTGAGGTTTTGTGGTTTTTCTAGTCAAAATTGGTTTAAAATTTTTATTTTTTTAGTTTCTGTAATTCTAAAATATGTTTTCGGAATTTGGCATCTTTTCACAAGCTTACGACTTTGCTTTTATTATTTAGTTTAACTTTTAGTTGTACTGTGGGAGGAACTTATGAGTCTCTTTAAACTGTTGAACTGTTGACTATAAATAAATATTGCTGGAAAAACCACTTTGCCGTCACTTTACCGATTTAATATATTTATTTAATTTAGTATATTTTTTATTCCCAGACCTAAGCATTGTAAATAAAAATTTTAAAACCAATCAAGCAATAGAATTTAGGATCTTAGGAACAAGTGCTGTTAGTCGTTAACTGTAGTGGTTGGTAGTTTCTAGTAGTCTAATGCTAATCTGTTAATGCTCGTTAGTGTTATCTGTTATTTATTTCAATTAGTAATTAGAATCAGCAGAGTTTAGTTTTAGCTTAATTATTAGAGTTTAGTAATTTAATTACTAATTAGTCGTCGTTTAGTGTTGTTACAGTTAATGAGTTAAGTGTTGTTGGTGGTTCACAAAAAATTTTTTTTATTTGAAATGCAAAAAGATACTTAACCGTCATACAGCAATATCTATCCTAAAACAGCATCTAGTACCTTTTAAAACATTTTGAAATTTTAAATAAAAGCAATATTCCGAAATTATTAAATATACGATCGTAACTTTTGACTTGGGCGATAAAAAAATCACCCTCCAATTTCCCTCCGGAAGTAAGCTCCTTGCTCGACCGTCAAAAATGAGCGAAGGCCGTTATATTTATTTTAATTATATGATTCAACCATGGATATATATAATCCGCGCATTATATCCATGCATTCAACTGATTCTTTTTTTACTTAACTTACCAATTTTATTAAATTTAGAATGAAGTCGCTCTCTATAGTATTATTACCATTATTTATAGACTTAGCTTTGAAGCAAGAGCGGCATTAAAGTTACCATTCATGATGTATGTTATAAACATTGAATCGACAGCTGGAGGACGAATATTATGGTATTATAACCACAGTAGCATAGCGAGGAGGGCAGGAAGTGGTTGCCTCGGCCACCAAAAGGTGGAGGTTGCCAAATTGGGCGTGAAAACACTTTTAACCTTGAAAAAATAATTATTAATTTATTTCATTCAGCAAACTGGAACATATTTCAAAGTATATGAGGGTTTCAACGGGAGGGATCGATTATTTGACTTAGCCATGGATATATCATTGTTTAGCGTAGAAAAGGAACTGGAGTAAACAATTAATTTCCATCATGTTACTGAAAACTTTGCAAATGCAAAATCCCGAGAAGTACTTTTGTGAGATAATACGGCTGTCATCTACAAATTTTTTGACAAATTTGTTCAAGTTGTCTTTACATATATTGCATCGCTTTTTGTTAACATAACTGCTCTTATATAGTTATGTGAATATGGATCACAAACATTATTAGTAAATAGAAAAAAGCGCCAACAGGTCTTTTGCTACTCCGGGCACCTGTCACCCTTCAAACGCCACTGTTTAAACTGGTATTAAGTGTTACCCCCGTCATATCGTATTCTTATCATTATAAAGTATAGACGTCACCGAAAGCGAGAGCAGCATTTACACCATGCACCAATTGAAATTGGTGCTCAGAATATTAAGATAATGATATCCTCACAGTTAAAATATTATATGATGACACAAATACTTTCAGGTCATAGTCCATTTCAAAAAAATTGGTTTAAAGTTTAAACATTTAATTTTAAAATTTCAATGAATATTGCAATAATTCCTGAAAGTGAAAAACCACTAAAAAGAGATTTCATTCAGGCTGAGCGACGCTTTCTGAACATTAAACGATCATCGAACAAATGCACAAGTCAAACTATAATTTTTTATTAATTTATAAAAATACCTAAAATTATTATTTTATTATAGTTATCATAAAAAAAATTTCTAAAATAAACACGCTAATACGTTCAATTAATCTATTTCCAGTTATCATTATGGAGTTTCCCGCCGAGATTTATATCTGGGAAATGATTATCTGTAAATTTGGACCGCTTGTAACAATTTCGTTTACCAAAGATGGGACCGCAAAAATTTGGATCATAGCAGTCTGAAGCGCCGTAAGACATGGAAGTGAGCAAGCAATACGTGTATCGTTTTAATGGAGGTTGAAGTATTCTTCTTTCAATGTATCTTCACAAAAAATTTTATTTTCGAGATAAGTATTATAAATAAATTCCAGCAATTCAATTTTAAAACTTAGCAACGATTTAATATTTTGTCATAAATCTTTTTATTTAGCAAATTCTAAACGTATGTTCCTTAGTTAACTGAAAGAGCATGAATTTTGGAAATATAAATTTAATCGTTAAGTGGTAGAACAAGTCAGAAATATCAATTTTCAAACAATCAGGTATAGGTACAACCTTTTCGTAAAACCGTGATCACTGTCAGGCATGTACTCACTAAGTACTTTCCTATCCGTTGGTTCAACTTCAAACATCTCTTTAGTCAAAGCAGGGCAAAATTTTTTTCTCGCTTCCATTTTTAGTTTTTTGTAATTTTTAATTTCTGCCATCTTGTGTTCAGTTGCCAAAACCATCGGTTTCCATTTAGGATCGATGGGTAATTCGCTTTTGTCGGCAGTACCACATGCTCGGGTTTTTTGAAAAAGCTTCAATCGTGTTTTATTTTCTATCAAAATACTTTCCAAAAGGCACTGGTTTTCAATTATATTGGGAACGATATGAAACGTTGTAAACATTTTAAAATATTTTTAAAGTTTTGCACGATTACGTCATTCAATGTAGTGGATGCGTTATTGACAATAATAATAATAATATTATTATTATTACTATTGCTAGTACTATAACTATAAAGGAATTTTAGCGGTGCTAGTGATAGCAGTTGTGGAACTATCAAAAATAGACCACTTTTCATTTAACACTAAAAAACATTTCCGCTAAAAAAATTTCGAAAAATACTCCGCCATAGAAACAAAAAAGTGAATAAAATAAAAATAAATACTGCTAAATAAATATATGCTAATAATGAATATAATATATAATCTATATAATAATTGATAAATAAAACTATAATAAATTTTGAGAATTTTTATTTCAAGAAGATGTTTTCCAAACTTTTTCCAAAACGATCTGGTTCAAATTTACTGAAAAACTGTACACAATTTTAGGAAAAGCAGCATATGAATCGCTTTTGTTGTTTTGGCATGCAAATGATTTCTTTCTTTATCTACATTTTTTTTCTTTTTTTTCTGGCAGGGTTAGAACAAATTCATCAAGAACGTTGTTGATTACAGCGAATAGTTTTGCACATGCAATGTCGTTATCTTTTTAATTGGTGATTGAGAATCATTGTTGAGATGATAGTGCATGTTTGATTTTAATTATTGACGAATTTGTAATTTTTGTTTATAAATGTTGTTTCGATTTTAAGTGAAGTCATAGTTATTATGAGCCGCAAATATTGGCAGGTGATCGGAAAAATCTGAGATGGCAATCCCGCTATTAAAGACTAGTTTTGACTTTGTGAAGATGTTATCTAACAATAATGACGAAGTTTTTGCGTAGCGAGTTGGTGAAGTTATTAAAGGCGTGAAACAATAAGAGAAGAGTAGATTTTTAAATTTTTAAACACTGTTTGAGTTCATATCTGTTAAATTGAAATTGAAAACTCCAACAACGTATGTTTCTTATGAGGGTTTTACGGAAGCTAGAATATCTTCAAATCGTTTTAAAAGCTATTCTTGGTTTGACGAAGGGGGCAGTACATAGCAACTACGTTGGCCGCTTTGCAAGTTGAGAATTATTTTAATCTATGTTGAATGCAAAGTATGTCAATGGTATCATCTTCAAACAGTTTGCTATCGGAGATGTCATAGGCTAAGTTGTCTTTAATGAAAATGCCTACGCCACCACCGGCTGTCAGGTCAGCCCTGTTCTTGAACAAAAATTTAAAGTTAGATAAACTTATTGAATTTGCAGTGCTTTTGTTCAGCCATGTTTCTGTTATGATTATGAAAGAAAAGTTTTGCAACTGTAGTAATAAAACCTGGAGCGAACTCATTTTGTTATACAAACTTCTGGCATTAAGATGAAAGATAGAAAATTGGTTTAGGTTATATTGTTCTTGCTATTCACGCTTAATTTAATGATAGTTTCTGACAAGGTTACAATAGAATAATACACTGAGCAGTCATGTTGTGTATTTACATTTGTCAATAGATTATTATTTTTGTATTTTTGTTTTCTTCCATGGATATATTTTTGGATGTGTTTCTTTGAAAATCTATCTACGCACGGCCACATATCGGCGTTTAGCATGGCTTCTCTGTCTCGAAAGTCTATGCAAACTCAAAATGCTTTTGACATGGCGTCATCAGGTTTTCGTTGATTTTTTGTTGGTGACCTCAAAGCACGTGATTGCATTTATCTTGTTTGTAGGTTAACTTTTTTGTCATCAACTGTACAGTCACTGTGAAAGTTGCTTATGTAGAAGATTGATTATTTTATCAGAATTTTATTTGCTTTTATTATTAGATTTTATGAATTGGTGTTTCTTTCTATTATTTTACTAGATTTTGTTGTCAGTCTTAGAATTGTTTTGCTGGAGTGTGAGGCTGACGGATGATCACTTGTGACGGTGTTTTCGGAGACGGTGTTTGATCTACTTTTTCTTGTCTGTTTTTCCTAGATTAGAACACTTGAAAATTTTCATTGTCAGTCGTTATTTCTTCATATTCACGATATGCTCTGTCGGCCATCTCTCTCAAAATGGGATCTTGCTTGATTAATTTTAACAATTAAAATCATAAACGATTATAAAATGGATTTCAACATTTTGAATAGACTTAATTGTAAAGAACTAGTTCAAAATATTAGAAAATCAACCATAAAACTTGTTAATGCTGAATCGTCGGTGGATTTTTTGAACAACTGTATATATATATATATATATATATATATATATATATATATATATATATATATAATTGAGAAACCTCACTTCATTTTTAGCTTTGATCGGTTTTGACTGTCTCAGCCCCAACTTTTTCTAATATATGTATGTATATATATATATATATACACTATTGTATGAATTCTACCAAATTGTTGGCACTATTCAATTTAAAATTTGTCTTTTCAATTTTTCTTACTAGATTTTTCTGAAAATTGTTTAATTGGTTGAAAATAGAATTACCCAAGTTCATCATGAAAATTTAATTAAACTGCTGTTATCCGAATTCATCATGCAGATAAGGCCTTATTTCTTTAGTGCAGGTTTGGTTTTTATAGCATTTTTAAACAAAGCAAATTTCTTTAGGAAACTTTATTAGTTGGTATCGTATTCTTCATCTCTGTTGTTGTCATTCCAGTATTAAGACGTCAAGTTGGCAATGATGTTGTCATTCTTTGTTATATGTTTATTTGTGATTTATAGATTATATATATATATATATATATATATATATATATATATTATTATAAGAAAACTTGTATAGCGACTTTTATAGAACTACCCAAAGTCGCTATCCAACATAACCAAAAAAAAAATATAACCAAAAAACATAAACCAAATAAAAACATAACCAAACAAAAGCATAAATATTTCGAAAATAAACACAAGTATACATTGTAAAAAGAACTAAAACAAAACAGATAAATCCTTTAAATTCATATATAGATGCACACATATACTCTCGACCATACCCAATCACTCAAAGTAATGTAACAACCATATAAGAACCAAACAGCAACCATTTTAAACCAAATCATAGATACATTCATCCACCACACCAATCACACACAATTACGCTAAGAAGATGCACGATAACATATAATTCAGAACAACTAACAGATAAATACCCAGCCACACAATCAAAGGCAGCACTCATATCAAGTAAAGCTAACAATGTCACTTGCTTTGAATCTGATGCCTGAAATAACGTTGACAACAGCTTTAACAGTGCCGTTTCCGTAGAGTGGAATCTTCTGTACCCCGACTGAAAGCACGGAAGAAGATTATTTTCATCCAAGTATTGCAGAAGCTGTCTTGTAACCACCCTTTCAACAATCTTTGCTATAAACGACAAATTTGACACAGGACGAAAACTCTTCAACTCATTTGCATCGGACGATGGTTGCTTCAATAGCGGTGTAACAATTGCTTTTTTAAAAATCATTGGATAACTTCCAGTTTTCAAACACATATTGATCTAATCCGTCAAGTACGGCAAAAACAGTTCAATGTGTTTTTTGGAAAAACTCGTCGGGACGGGATCTAGCATACATGTTGTCGGAGGGGCTTTCAAAATAACTGCCTTAACATCATCACTTGAGCACTCCAAAAAATTCGAGAATACTTGATGTTCTGTAACCTTACAACTGAAAGAAGGAGCGTTATGCCCTGTTATGGTTTTTTTAATGTTTTCAATCTTTTTCCTAGAAAAACTCTGCAAATTCGCTGGCAGTAATTTTATTGTTTGCTACATCAACCGTGTTAGTTTTTTTGTTACATAAAACCTTGTTTAAAACTCGCCATAACTGTTTAGGGTTGTTAGCGTTAGTGTTAACTAAATTGTTCCAATATGATTCTCTTCTTTTGCAAAATGCTCTTGTTTCATATTCATTAGGCCAATCCAGTTCTGCCTATTAACCATGCATTTATTTTTCC